GGGCATGTGGCAGGGTATACTGTGTGAGATCTTCCAGTCTTCAGGTCTGGGCGTGTAGCGGAGTAACACTGTGTGAGATCTTCCAGTCTTCAGGTCTGGGCGTATAGCGGAGTAACACTGTGTGAGATCTTCCAGTCTTCAGGTCTGGGCGTGTAGCGAGGTAACACTGTGTGAGATCTTCCAGTCTTCAGGTCTGGGCGTGTAGCGGAGTAACACTGTGTGAGATCTTCCAGTCTTCAAGTTATTATCATACAGGCGGAGTCCTCACCTTCTGACGCAAAATTTTTATACCCAACACCTGCTATTTATAAGGTGTGGTGCTGATAGGCTTCCTCTTTTGCGCTACAGCAACTGTTTGATAGACGTGAACCAATTGCGGCTGAGCATGATATTACTAACAAAATTAAAGATTAGACTATATTATCTCGTCAAATAACTGCAATGCTAAGAGTATAAAAAGTGGCAAGTGTGGCGGAGGAATTATTTTTACGGACACATTCACTTACATGGGTTACACATTATACCGGAAGAGATGATCGTGTCACGTATCAGTTAGTCTGGGAAACTTTTACTGAGACAAGACAATATAATATAATATATTCCTTTAGTGTAAATGTCACGTTTGGATCTTTTTAAGCTTGTTTCTCCTTGTATTGTGAAGCACTTTGGTGAGATTATTATTATTATTATTATTATTATTATTATTATTATTATTATTATTATTATTATTATTATTATTATTATTATTATTATACGAGTTACAGTTTTAAGGAAATATGACACCAACATTACACACTCCTTGGTTAATATCTGACCCCACTCAGTATGTATATAAGACCCACGTCCTTATCAATCTTTGTAAAGCTCGGTGTTCAATGCCGAAGGCCCTCAAGAGTACCATTTGTTTTACGCTGGTCCTGGTATGGATGTCCCTATGTTATCATCGCCCTAAAGAGGCTCAGGCAAGATAAGAAATTGTTTAACATACTAAACTACTCGACCTCTCACAGCGCTCCCACAAACCTCATGTTTTTGTTGAAATAATTGGGGAAAAATAATGCAACGTGTACAACAGTGTCGACAGAGACGATAAATATACTGTATACAATAACTTTACAGGTCAGGCGATTTCATTTTCTCCTCTGAACAGTTATAATGCAGACGTTTTCACTTTTGGGGTCACGGCACCTGGGGGCTCACGGCACCTGGGGGTCACGACATCTGGGGTCACGACATCCTTGGGGTCCAGCTCCTAGACACTGTTGAGACCTGCAGGAAGACTTCTCATTATAACAACAGACTAACTACATTAATAAACCAATTTGTTACCGAGAGGATCTCCTAATGAAGTGTTTGTGTCAGTGATCTTCCAACGTTTCCTGTGACCAAATATTATATTTATTATAAGTAGAACAAAGTAAAAAACTAAATTGTTATTTATTACGAATGCTCAAAGACTTTTCGATCATCATGTATATGTACAGTACACCCACCCAAAAAATGCCCTGCAGTCCTCTCTCTCAACCATGAACCCCGAGACTCATGAACCTGTGAATCCGAGACATCACACATTGTTGGGTCCATAGAAGTCTCGGATTCATGGGTTCACGAGTCTCAGGGTTCATGGTTGGGAGGGAGAACTGACAGGATTGTTTTTGAGTGACTATACCTTTGTGACAGGGAAGGAGCAACGCACGTCACGAGTCATCTTAAGCACCATCACAAAAGTAATAGGTTTTATCACAATAAAATTCACCTACTGGATTATACCATTACTTTCAGACAAAGAAAAAAAACTTTAATTGGGAAATCCTGGAAGAGTCATTCACCCGACGACGTTTTGTTTTACATCGTCTTTACATTTGACATTTTAACCCTTAGTGGTTGGCAGCCATGAGGACTATAAGCCTGAGGAGCTGTAGGTAGTGGTTGGAGTGTTGAGGCGTGAGAGCGGTGGGGGCTGAGTAGGTAAACACGCCTGGTACCGTTTAATCAAGTTGGTCTTTTCTCTTAGCGAGGCGACCTAACGGGAGGACCTACTCATCACTGTTATTATGGTGTACTGTACTGTTTATCGTATTGTATATCAGAACGGACGCTGCCATAACTCACGCTGCCATACCGGACGCTGCCATAACGGACGCTACCATAACGAACGCTGCTATAACTTACGCTCCCATAACTCACGCTGCCATAACGGACGCTGCCATAACTCACCCTGCCATAAATCACGCTACCATAACGGACGCAGCCATAACTCACTCTGCCATAACGGACTTTGCCATAAAGGACATATCTCTGTGGTCTGGTGCCAGGAATTCCAGTGAAAATGACCAATATTTTGTCCTTTTTATTTTGCACTATCCATCTTCAATAAGTGTAGTTCTCAAATGTCAGGTGAAGATTAGGCACCCCCAGCATATTTTCACCTGATAATTAAACTCCCCCATACTAGTTGGAGGGGTTAGGTTAGATTAGGTTGATTTAGGTAGGTTAGATTATGTTATGTAAGGTTGTGGTAGGTTAGAAGTATGTTAGATTGGCGTTAGGTTAGGTTAGTGTTAGGTTAGGTTGTGGTAGGTTAGGAGTATGTTAGATTGGCGTTAGGTAAGGTTAGATTAGTTTATGATAGATTGGGTTAACTTGTTAGCTTAGGTTAGGTTAGGTTAGTGTTAGGTTAGGTTAGGTTAGTATTAGATCTGTTTAGCATTTGGTTAGGGAGGTAATGTTAAGTTTTGTTTGGTATGGTAGGCGGGGTTGGATGGACAAGGGATAGTGCACCAACCTTTTCTAGTCCACCCGCACCTCCCTACTAAATTTCAGCTCTCTATTTTCAAAACTGTGGAAATGTAGTGTGTGTGTGTGTGTGTGTGTGTGTGTGTGTGTCACGGTAAATAGAGACAAGGTTGGGCGGGGCGGGGCGGGGCAGGGTGGGGCATGTTTTTGGTCTAGTTTTATTAACACGTGGGTTGAGTGCAGGGATACACGTTCCTCACATTAGGTCACTATATAAATAACTATATCAAGAAGAAGAAATTTTGTGAAGTTGTAAGAAAGGAAAAAATAAATAAAATATAATGGCATATATCAACTAGTTTATGAAGGTAAAGTCGTCTTGCCCGCGGCTGTGTGAGGGAGTGTTAGAGGACTACAAACTGCAACAACCACTGGTAAACACTATCACTTATGCCATATTATTATTATATATGTACAATAGAGAATATATAAAAAATGTGCTTCATACTTAATGACAAGGTTAATCCCGGGCATTAGGAACCTTGAGTACAGAGACAGGTTAAAGCATCTTAATTTGCACTCCCTCGAGAGACGTAGAGTGAGAGGCGATATGATAGAGGTGTATAAATGGAAGTCAGGGCTGAACAAAGGGGACATTACAAAGGTACTCAAACTATTCAACCAGGAGCGAACTCGTAACACTGGTTTTAAATTAGACAAATTTAGATTTAGGCGCGAAATAGGTAAACACTGGTTTGGTAACAGAGTAGTGGATGAATGGAACAAGTTACCAAATATCATCATTAACTCGAATACACTGGATAGCTTCAATCATAGGTTGGATGGATATATGAGCAATAGGGGTTGGGTGTAAATGGGACTGCCCAGTATGGGCCAATAGGCCCGCTGCAGTTTCCTCCATTCTTATGTTGGTATGTTCTTATGTATTGTAGGGAATTATAGCGAGGTACTGACCACCCCTGCTGACCTTCCCTACTGACCAGACAATGGATCAAGGACGTCCAGATACTAACACTGAGTAGTTACTAAGTCGTGTCTGTCAGAGTAGCAGCGACACAACAGCTTACATGACGCTCATTTTATTTCACCTTTTCACCTGATAATTAAACACCTAAACTAATCCCCCTCCCCCCGGGTAGAATCAGGGTGTTTAATACTGAAGCAATATAAACTGGGATGCCTAATCTTCATGTAATATGCCTTAGCTGAAGGGTAAGAACTGTTTAGAATCATCTGATTACACTTCCAGACCACAGACTTATGTAGCTCCAGTGAAATTACTGTGTTAATTTACTCGCTTGAGATTGCTAAATACTCTACCTTGTGGACGATGGCTCTTCCGCCTCAACACTGCACCAGGCTGTGTAGAGATCATAGGTATATAGCTCAGGAGCTGACCAGAGTGACCACGTACTGCCTGCTTTCACCTTAGTCACGATAATGTGTTAAGCTTCCCAGTCCTCCCATTGAGCTGTGGTATCTAGTGAGCTACTGTCTAAAATTATTTGACCAACAGCAACATCTGTCGAACTCCAGTCTAATTACTAATAGAGAAGTGACATGTAGTGAGTTCCAGTCAAATTACTAGATCAAATGCGAGATCCACGAGGTCCAGTTAAACCACTAGCTCAATGTACATGAGACGTCAGACAACTTTGGCCACTGTGAGAGGAGGTGACGAGAAACTCCTTCCGGCTCATGCACTGGTGTGGACGTGGGGTTACATTCTCTTTTCCTTGATAAGTGACCGAAATTGGTGTTTCTTGGTGTTGTATTAACTAAAAGAATTACAGAATACAGAAAAAAAGGATACCCGATTATGTATGCATACTATGAGAAGAATCCGTCAACACACAGATAACCCGCTGGAGCTAACCGACAACTGCTTGTACAGTGAGAAAATAAAGTATCTTCCCGGGGTTTTGCCGAATACATCTCAGAAATGACTAGCCATTCGGCACACGCACACGTGGAGCCCATAAACAGTTGGCAGGCCTGTGGAATCTTGGAAAGGGTCACCAGCAACACCATTCACCGTGTTGGTTGGTCAGGTTTCATTATACAGTACTTCGGCCAAAGCTGTAACTTGTATTGTTTTAATTAGTACTGTGACATTTTTATTGTTTTGATGTTTGTTAATTTGTTATTCATTATTCATAGTGTTGTGAACAATTAAAACCCGCCTAGGTAGTGTAGTGGTAGTGCTTGTATTGTATCATATAAAGGCTGAGTAAGATATACCGTTCGATATAAATAATATATATTTAATGCACAAACTTGCACAATAAATCTAGAAATATTAGTGTTAAATCTTGAGGTAAAATAATGCCTTGATGAAATAAAAGAGTAATCACAGTTAAAAACATTCATATGAATGATTTGGAAGAACCAGCTGGAGACAGACTCGTAGGTCTACTCACAGCTCTGCACTGGCAGCTGGAGACAGACTCGTAGGTCTACTCACAGCTCTGCACTGGCAGCTGGAGACAGACTCATAGGTCTACTCACAGCTTTGCACTGGCAGTTGGAGACAGACTCGTAGGTCTACTCACAGCTCAACACTGTCAGCTGGAGACAGACTCGTAGGTCTACTCACAGCTCAACACTGTCAGGAACACACTGATAAGGGCCACACGAAAGACTCGCACTGGGCGACTTCTCTCGTCTCGTGACTCAACTCACTAAACAGCCAAAAACTGTCGGCTTTTGTCACCAGTCGGAGACAATCTGAAGATTTTTCACTCGACTTTGTAACACTTTCAGCACACAGGATCACCGTTGGTCTTGGGTAAGGACTCAGGTCTTTTGCGTTGTGGTCTTGCCACTCACGCTCACCGAGGATGGTCTTGAGGCAGCAACACAATTTCGCCGAGGGCTGTAACTGCGCCGGCTTCCACGTCCACTTAGCATTGTCTTGAGACTAATGATCCGTGGAGCGTCGCCCATCACTGAGTTGACACAGCTTGCTGCAGGCACTGACTGACCAGCAACGGAACCCAGTCAGGGTGCCGGGTTCTCTGCCGGGCCTCGACCTTGAGGGCAATTGCTCAGTGATACTTGGATTAGAACAGTTCCTCCACTGTCTTATCTGCAGATGATGGGCGGAGCTGGGAAGATGGGGCTGTTGGGGTTGCTGAAGGGATCCACATTGATGAAGTTGCCAATGATGTTACACCTGCTAACAGGGCGTTTCCTCACTCCTCTTTGGAAGTGTCTGGCTTCTTTACAGGAAGGACAGAGAGCATGACAGTTTCTTTTCCTGCAGCAGCTGGGGAACGATGGGCACGGCACCAGGGCATCACATACAGTGGCTAGAGCGACGAAGGTCACCAACAGCAGCAGGAGAACACGAACGCTAACCATCTTGGTGATCTCTAGAAGGTACATAAAGAATGTTAAATCCTTGCAACAAATATTCGGATATTTAATATATATATATATATATATATATATATATATATATATATATATATATATATATATATATATATATATTTATTTATTTATTTATTTATTTGTTTATTTAATTGTGCAAATTATGCAATTCCTTTATTGAAAAGAGTAAGAAAGAAAATGTCAAAATTAAGGAGGGAAATACCAATGGAGCTGAAATACGGCTTAATTCCGATCAGTGTGGCTGTGAGTGTGTGAGGACGGCTTGGCTGCCCAGCCTTATATACTCGTGCATCATTGCCTAATATTCTGGGACAACCTCGCACACTCTTCCTTCTGTCTCGTGTGTTGCGTAACTCTTATGTGTATACACCGTGTACTGTGTGTGTGTTGGTTGTTAGAAATACTCCAGATTATTTTTTTTTAATTTAGTGTGTATAAATAAAATAATATATAAAGATCGTTCAAAACATCTTTGTGTCCAAAAAATTATTTACTTACAAAACCTGGCTTGATGAATGTTTTGTTATAAGAAATAATTTGGATTACCTGATGACTAACCACCCTAACGCTAATCTAACCAAACACAAGCTAACCTAACCTAACCTAACCTCGGGAGACTTAAAGATACTGACCAAAGAGATAAACACGTACGAGAATATTGCCATGTCAAAATATAAACACCCATCAATGAACATCTTTCTCGCTCAACCAAATCAAAATATCACTGGATTTTACACATAGACGAACATCTAACATGGGATGAGTTGATGTGGAGTTGATGAGTGATTGGTTTAACAGGGATGGGTAGGTTGATGTGGGAATGGAGTGGTATAATATGTAACTTGACGTGGGGTTAGGTTAGGTAGTTGGTTGCTTTGGCGTTGATATTTATGGAGTTAAGGGAAGTGAGATGTTATAAAAAATTCTCCTTTCGGATCACTTGCATATTAGGCACCCCAGTTTATTTCCATTATGTATTAGCCACCCGAGCGCTAACCTAACCTACTCTAGCACTAACCTAACCTAATCTAATCTAACCTAACCTACTCTAGCACTAACCTAATCTAACCTAACCTAATCCTTAAGCTAGAGTTAGGGTGGTTAATCTTCAAGTGAAATAAGCTGGAGTGTCTAATCTTCAGGTGGTCTCACTTTCCTTATAATTTGCAATACTGTTAAAATAAAGTACATTGATTTCTAAGTGTACTGGACATAATTATTACAGGAAAAGGAAATTCTTTGTTTACCTCTGTGCTGCTGATGTACGATAACTACGATAACCTTACTCGGAGAATATTAATGACTAGATTTAAACAATAGTTTCTCGTTCTTGTACGACCTCCTGCTGCTACTCACAATATACAGTAGTGTTACCTCATCATTTATTATTATTATTATTTATATTATTGTTATTATTATTATTATTATTATTATTATTATTATTATTATTATTATTTATATTATTGTTATTATTATTATTATTATTATTATTATTATTATTATTATTATTATTTATATTATTGTTATTATTATTATTATTATTATTATTATTATTATTATTATTATTATTATTATTATTATTGTTTTACTTGTGATGTTTGAATTGAGGTATTGATCGTTCTTGTTGTTAATTATTAAACATCTAACACAGAAAATAATATTCGATCTTACAAACTTCTCATAGTGGTGGATGAGTAATGTATGATCTGTGACTTATCCCAGGCTTGCGAGAGTCACCTTCAGAAATATATGATGACAGTAAGCAGTGGTAGGTTCATTGTACACCGTCCCTCCATATCCACTGTCTACTATGTCATACCATGAACATTATACACCCCTTATGTCATGCCATGAGCGAAATATAAATCAAAAGCTAGAAAATTTTTTTTTAAGGCCTCATATGTCGCTCGGACAAGGATGTAAACAACTACCAACTTCAGAGTACATCACTGCTCTCTCGTTCACTTCTCGCTCCGCCCGGTACTTGAAGAGTGGCGGCGGTGTACAGTAAAGACAAGATTCCCGGGCCGGTGGAAGTTGTTTGGACATACTTCCTAGCCCCCATTAGTTCCTGTTCACCTAGCAGTAAAGTAGGTACCTGGTGTAAATCGAAAGTTGCGAATTCGTATTCTTTTGACAATTTGTTGGAGCTTCCAATAACTTGATGATATAAACCATTGACTCTTCAGGCTTCTACGCCCTTGACTCTTCAGACTTCTACGCCCTTAACTCATGACACATAAAGGCAAGCATGAACTTAGCATGCTTCCCTGTTGGGCACTGTAAACGCTTCTGCGCTTCACCTTACACAAGGATGTAGGGGGGTGCCCAATAAATGATAAAAAAAAAGTAAAGACAGCACAGTACTTCAGTCTCCCAGGGAAACATTTTAACACCGACGGTTAGGATTCTGAGTGTGAGGAGTCGTAGTTGTTGTCAGTCGAATATATCATAGTTTCAAAATATCGCTAATAGATAATGAGGAAGGGATATTTATAGAGAAACAAACTTCAAGTCTCTATATCGCCTATATCAAGAGTTAGTGTAGTGATACTTTGTGCGGCTTTGACCTCTGCCTGCTCTAAGCCAATAGGAATGACCTTCAGGTATCTGTTATTAGGAACTTGTATATAAATAAACCAAGAAATGAAAGGCCGTTCTAGGCTGGTATTTAGTGAAATTGCCCATAAGTCGGACCAGTTAGGTTTAAGTTAGATTGGTTGTTTAAGTCGAATTAGGTTTAGTTGGGTTAAGTTAGCGTAAGGGGTGCTTTTAATCATTAGGTGAAATATGGTGTCTAATCTTCAGGTTGTCCCAGTTTAATCGTGCATCTCGGAAGTTCCATAAAGATGATACATTAGGAAGCCTTTACCAATATCAACTTACACTTGATTGCCTTGTGCATGATATAAGACAGGTTTGCTGGCCGCCTGACCCCACCAAGGCCTCCCCAACCCGTCTAGTCGCCCACCATCACCATGAATACACTTGATCCTGAAATAACACCGGTATTGGTAGCTTTTAATCTTACGAGTTAACACAGTACTAATTATAATCGGATAATAAACAAAAACAAATATGATAATGCTAAGTCATGAACCCAAAAAACGACTTGATATGGACTGTACATTTAATTATTCTGTTCTCGTTGTTGAATGTGTGTAAATAGGAACCGAGGATATCACTTGTCGCAGCAGGAAGAGTAAGTCCTACCCGTCTTCCTGCCCCCGAGTGAGGTTCCCCCACACGTATACAACCCACCCGCCCCGCCGCCACCCACCTCTACACTGCCCTGCTTCCTCTTGGGCTGGGCTTCTATCGAACTTCTCCCCGAACCAATGACGGAAAGAAAGTCATTACAGTACAAAAATAACATACTCTCTTAGCTGTCAAAGGTCACTTGTTAGACAATACATTGTCAGCTGTTCATAATATCAACACAATGTTTTGCTTGTGAGGAAATAATGAGATATGAAGTAGCCAGCACCGGATTTTACTGGCTTTTGTGTGCTTACCATCCGCCTCACCACCGCTTTTTGTCTTATATATAAACAATGGGTATTCTTGTGAGTTTTATGCGATCATAAGAACATAAGAAAATAAGGAGTCTGCAATAGGCCGGTTGGCCTGTGCATGGCAGCTCCTGTCGAGAGTTTTCTACCACTCTCTATCATCCATGAATCTATCTAGCCTCCTTTTGAAACTTTCCAGAGTTCCCGCACTTACTACAAAGTTGCTAAGCTTGTTCCACTCGTCCACCACCCTATTTGTGAACCAGTTTCTTCCTATCTCCTCCTAAACCTAAACTTATCCAACTTGAATCCGTTGCTCCGAGTCCTATCCTGCTCGGATATTATAAGAACTTTATCTATATCCCCTTTATTGATTCCTTTCACCCACTTAAATACTTCTATCATATCTCCCCGCACTCTTCGTCTTTCTAGGGAATGCAAGTTAAGTTTCTTTAACCTATCCTGATATGGAAGGTTTCTAAGTCCCGGAATCATTTTTGTCATTCTTCGCTGCACCGACTCTAGTGAATTTATATCCATTCTATAATAAGGGCACCAGAACTGAACCGCATAATCGAGGTGCGGCCTGACTAGCTCAAATATAGTTGCAATAAGACCTCTGCACTCTTGTTACTTACACTTCTAGATATAAAACCCAATACTCTGTTTGCCATATTTCGAACATTAACGCACTGTTTTCTAGGCCGTAGGTCCGGGCTTACAAGTACCCCGAGGTCTCTTTCACAAGTCGACTTCTCTAGGTTGATGTTGTTAAGGCTGTATACATTATAAGTATTTGTTCTTCCAATATTAAGTACGCTGCACTTGCTGGCGTTGAATTTCATTTGCCATTTTTCAGACCACCCCTGCAGTTTATTTAGATCCTCCTGTAATGCATTTGCATCATAACGAAGAATATTTTCCAGTAACAGTACATCTCAAGGTAGCTATATAGATTTTAAGGCTGCATTTCTAATCTGTTATATACTCCCGGGGGAGGGGGGTGTAGGGTGTTATCATATGCGTCTGTTTGTCAGTCTGCACAGTTCAAACTAACGCTGATAAAAGAGTAAAGATATTTCCTGTGGCTGCAGGCGTGTCCACGTGTCTTAACCTGTACAGTAATTTTACATATTTTTTTTTTCCTCGAGTATAACCAAGAGTTTGTTTTTAAAGAAAGCTTTATTACTGCTCATGCTTGACCTATTCTTGTTTTAACTTCTTTTTGATATCTACTGTACCTTTATATCATCTATGTAACACAGTACACACGCTCTTTATGACGTGTTATAAGCTTACTTAACACAGTACAGACCATGCGTCGCTATGTAAACCATGTGGAATAGTGCCCACCATCACTACACACTCTTTACACAGATCCTCTATATAACATCACTAATATATACACACCAGGTGACGTCAACACTATAATTAATATTTGTGCATTGGTCAGACGTGTGGGCCCAGCACAAGAGGTTAGGTTAACTTTTGGAAGCGTTAAGGTCAAAACGTAAATGTCGAGGCCGAAATTTTGTAAATCAGTACATTTTGGTACTGAGACATCTGGTGCACACTTTTGTCCCTTCTGCATTTACCAACTGAGCGGGCTGAAGCTATTGTCAAAAAGAGAAGAAAAACGTGTAAATTGTGATGACAGGTATTGCATTTCTTCTTCTTGTTGGCCTTGAAAGGTTAGGTGGGAGGTGAGGTTTGCGGTACTGATGCTGCCACCAACACTCCTCCAGGAAGAGATTATAGGCTATAACTGGTGCAATTTCCTGACTTGACCACCACATTGTCACGTAGAATAACGTCCTATAGTGACACACCATGA